GGGCTTTACGTCCAGGAAGACTGACAGCCTTGGAGACCCTGTGGGGCAGTTCCACTCTGTCTTGTAAGGCTGCAATGAGTCAGAATCGACTCTGTGACACACCAGCTTGTGCCAGGCTCTATGCCAAGTGACAATGGAGATAAGATCTGGCCCTTTCCTCTCTGTAGCCAGCCTGCCCCCGCTCCCAGCTCTCTGTCAGGCACAGAGCAGGTGCTCGAATGTGCAGCCAGAAGGAAGCGTCCCATCAGCTGTGGCCCTCTGCGGGGGAGGCAGGGAATTAATTACTGGAAGGTGCCCCAAAGCTGCATGCACATAGTAGGCCCACATCAGTGGCAGAATGGGTTCCTGGCAGGTGTGACCACTGGCGCTTTAGACCCTGCCTGTCAGGACAACAGTGGGCTGAGGTGGCGGGGACGGCATGAAGTACGGGAAGAGGCAAGACTCCACTTACAGGGACGCCCGGCTCCTTCCGGCCCTTTGGCGATGATGCCACGTGGGCGAGGTATTGGATAACCTTCTTGGTGTTCTCTGTCTTCCCGGCACCAGACTCCCCGCTATGGAGGGGACACGGGGAAGCAGAGATGGTAAGTAATGAAGCCAGATGAGCCCTCCCCCCGCAACCTACCCAGTCCAGAGCCATGCCCAGCAGGCTCCCACCTCCTCCAGGGAGTCTTCTTGGATTACTCACGTGCACAGAATGGATTGATCCTCACGATCTGTAAGGGACAGAAGGAGGGGACATGTCACCTGATGGTCCCTCCAGCAGGACCCTGACACCTGCTTTTCAATATCATTCCCCCAGGGTAGGGAAAAGGTAGGGTTAGGTGGGTGACACCTCTGTTGGCGTAGAGCCTAAGGCACTTGACTGCTAACCAGAAGGCTGGCGGTTCAAACCCACCAGCCACTCCTCAGAAGGAAGGTTGGGCAATCTACTTCCATAGAGATACTGCCTCAGAATCCCCAGGAGGGGTCGCTATGAATCAGATTCCACTTGATGGCAGTGACTTTTGTTTTGTTTTTTTAATTAGTTAAAAACGATTATAAAAATAAACAAATATAACAAATTACATCTTATAACCAAATTAAACGAGCATTATCTAGCAACCTCTCCTTAGGTTTCCCAGGTGGTATCAATATGGAAGTAGATTGCCCAACCTTCCTTCCGAGAAGTAGCTGGTGGTGGGTTTGAACCGCCAGCCTTCTGGTTAGCAATCAAGTACCTTAGGCACTGCACCACCAGAGCTCCCGATACAATATACACTTTAATAAATATTCATTGGATCCCAAATATTTATTGGTTTATTAAAATACATGCTACATAATAAATATATAATGAGCGTATTATATATATTACGTAAGCTAATTGTGTAGTTTCATGGATCATAAATGCTTGAGTCAATGTTCTAGAAGTCACTCCCTTGAGAGGAATTGCATGCAGGAATTGCCTGGCACCCACTGGCCACCCAAGGATGCTCGTGGAGAGACGGGATGAACATAGGGGCAGATGAATGGGGTCTAGGTCTGGTAGGACAGGCACCCATTTAGTGCCCCTGCCCCACCTCCCCAAGAAGCCTGCAGGGTCTGAAATGCCCAACGCGTCATCTGACTGTGACCTTGACCCCTGGCGGCCTCCTGCTGCCGTGCACACGGCCCCACACTCACCCTGCAGCATGCTCCGGTAGGCGCCCTCCGTCACCGCGTACACGTGGGGCGGCACCTCGTGGCGTTTCTTGCCCCGGTACATCTCTATGATGGCATCCGTATAGATAGGGAGCTGCTTGTACGGGTTGATGACCACACAGAAGAGACCGGAGTACGTCTGTGGTGGGCGAGAGGGAGAGGGCCTCAGCTGCGCCCCGGGCGGCTGCGCGCAGCCGGGCAGGTTGTGCGCTGAGCGAGCCCGTCCTTCTGAGGGGCTGCCGTGTTTTCACGCTGAACCGAGAAAGCAATCATGAGGGAAGGGCGCCTTTTCCAAAAGACGCAGAGAATCACGGAGGTACAAGGACCCATCATGGAGAGACTGCAGCCTTTGCGGACAGTCAGACCCAGAGAGCCTGGCACTGACACAGGCACCAAGGGCCAAGTGCAAGGCCGTCAGCGCTACAGCGTTCTTTCCGACGGCAGGGCTGGAAACACATTCACTGCCCGTCGCTTGGGGATGGTTAGATGAATTACTGTCTGTCCATACAAAGGACTCCTATGAAGCTCCTGGCATACAGACAGTAACTAGCTCTAAAACATCATCCAGTGAAAGGAAACGAGATGAGAATTATGGACGATAAGCTACCATTCGTGTCATAAGCGGCTGTTGCTGTTGTTTGCTGTTGTTGACTCTGACCCACAGCGCCCCTAGAGGACAGAGTGGAACTGCACCACAGGGTTTCCAAGGCTGTCAATCTTTATGGAAACAGATTGCCGAATATTTCTTCTGTAGAGCAGCTGGTGGGTTCAACGAGCGACCCTTTGGTTAGCAGCTGAATGCTAACCACTGTACTGCCAGGACTCTTGTTGAAAGTGGAAGGGGGTGTATGTTGATATCTTTGCTTCAACACAGACAATCTCTGGAGGATGCTTCAGACCTATGGCCACTGAACCGTGAGAGAAACACCTGAGCCTTTTGCAGATACCAGGCTCCCAGGCCCTGCTTGTACGCTGGTGGGTTTGAACCGCCAACCTTCTGGTCAGCAGTCAGATGCCTCAGGCACCGCACCACCAGAGCTGCTTCCTGGGCTTTGTAGAGCACTCGTAGGAGGCAAAATGCTAAATTTCAGGTTGGAGAGTCATGTCATGCAAATAAAGCAGGTTGTTTTGCAGCCAAGTTCAGAGACAGCTGAATTCTGTGTCTCTCCCTCCTCCTTCCCTCCCCCACCTCCCCCGGTTAAGGACCCGGAAATGGTTTCAGAACCGGTTTCAGAACCATGGGAGCTCACAGGGAACTTAGCACACTTGGAGGCAGGCAGGGAGCTAGCAAGCCACTCAGGTGAACTAGCCAGAGAGCTAACTAACTAAGCCATCCCAAGAGTCAGCTAGCTAAACTAGCAAGAGTTAGCTGCTTAGCTAGTTAGCAGTTAACTACTTAACCAGTTAGCTATTGAGCCAGCTAATCAGCTACTTAGCTAGCCGCTTAGCTGGGTAGCAGCTTATTTCGTTAACCATTTAATTAATTAGCTGCTTAGCCAGCCAGTCAGCTACTTGGCTAGTTAGTTAGTTAGCTGATAAGCAGCTTAGTTATTAACCATTTAACTAGTTAACAATTTAGCCAGCTAGGCAACAACTGGTTGCAACTAGCTGGTTGCTTAGCTAGCTAACAGTTAACTCTTTAACTAGTTAGAAACGTAGGCAACTAGTCAGCTAGCTACTTGGCTGACCAGCTGCTTAGCTAGCTTGCGGCATGATGGCTTTAAGTTCCAGACAGCTGGGGCTCGCCAGAGGGAGCAGGGTGTGGCCACCCCAGGGTGCCCAGCTCCCAGGTGCAAAGCTTTTAACAGGGAGAAGGGTGGGTGGCCAGCGGGGAGCTGAACGACCGGTTTGCTGGGTGGCTGCCCATCCCGCCTTGGAGGGCTGCTCCTGGGAGCTGTCGTAGCCTCTCACTGTGCAGCCTCTCACTGGCCGAGGGCGAGGCGGCCCGACCACATTCCCTGTGAGGGTATCTCATGTCTGCTGGCGCCCTGGCCCTCACTCCCAGCTGACGCAGGAACCCACTCCCCACACCACCCACCCACTCAGCCCCCTCCTGCTGGCCACACCTTGTTCCCAGGGCGACACCCCGAGAACGGGAGCCTGAGGGTCAGCGATTCGAGGGTCAGTGATTCGCAGCTCTCTGGGGTGAGGCTGGGGAGGTCTGGTTGGAAGGGTCTGGAATGACCGCCCCATCCCTCAGGGCTCTGCAGACAGATCTGCGTCTGCATCCTGCCTCCATCTCTCCTCGGCCCAGTGACGGTCCCCTTAATCTTAATCTTGGTCGCGCCGTGGGAAAACGGAAAAATGGGACGCCACTCCCCACCTCATTACAGCTGCTGTGGGATTAAGGCAGATAATGGGTAAAGCCGGTGGCCAAGGCACGCCCCTAAGACACACTCCACACTCAGGCCTCCTCTGCCTGCTCCCTGCCCCCCCCCAGAAGCCCCAGCAGCCCGCGTTCGAATCCTGACTCAGCGGTTCCAGCTCCGCGTGGGACCCTGCGGAAGCGGCTGCCCACTCTGAGCCTGCTGCCAGGCCTAGGAAATGGGCCCTTTAACCCCTGCCTCTTAGCAGGGTTTTGAGGGTGAACACAATGAGGACCCGTGTGCCACCTCAGCGAGCAGACAGCACAGGGACCCCAGGGATGGGACACAGCCCCAGGGGACTCAAGGCCAAAGTGCCTCCTGTGGCAGCGACTGCTTAGGGTTCATTAACCGCTTGACTAGTGACCTACTTAGCAAGCTACCTAACTAGCTATTCGGCTGGCCAGTTGCTTGGCTGGTTAGCAGCTTAGTTAACCTCTTAATTAGTTAGCTACTTAGCTAGCTACTTGGCTAGACAGTTGCTTGGCTACTTAACAGCTCAGTTAACCATTTAACTAGATAGCTACTTAGCCAGATAGCTATTTAGCTAGCTACTTGGCTAGCTGGCTGGTTGGCTGATGAGCAGTTTAATTAACCTCTTAATTAGCTCCTTACCTAGCTACTTGGCTAACCAGTTACCTGGCTGATTAGCAGCTTAGTTAACCTCTTAACTAGTCAGCTCCGTAGCTAGCTACTTGGCTAGCTGGCTGCTTAGCTGGTGAGCAGTTTAGTTAACCTTACCTAACGCAACAGCTACTCAGCTAGTCCAGTGCACTTTCCATTGGCCAACACTGCCCTCCCCACCGCCAGCTGGTCAGCTGACAAACATCTGCTCAGCATGGAGACAAGTGGGGGTGCTGACTCCCCTCCAGCATGTTCTAGCTGGGACATGTGAGTAAGAACCTTAACCTCTCTGGGTCCTCCTCGACTCGATGGGGACAGGAACAGCACTGCTCACAGGGGACAGCCGGGGGCCACTGACAAGTTCGTGCTGTATCTATGGGGCTCAGCACGGACGCTGGAACGCTGTGTATGGCTCACACCTGTCCACCAGCGTTAGGTCACCAGCTCTCCCTCGTCAAGCTGTGGGGAACCCAAACCCACTGCCATCCAGTCGACTCCGACTCACAGCAGCCTGCCAGGTCAGAGGCAAACCGCCCACAGGGCTGCCGATCTGTACATCTTTACGGAAGCAGGTTACCACAGCTTCCTCCCCCAGAGCATCTGGTGGGTTTGAACAGTCGACCTTTTGGTTCACAGCTGAGCATTTTAACCACTGTGCAACCAAGGCTCCTTGCCGTGGGTAGAGGTGGGTGATAATCCCTACCTCACAGCCTTACGGAGAGGCAGGTTCAACATCATCCTATTGGAAAGACAGTTACAACACTGCTGGGCAGAGAAAGCAGGCACTCCCTAAGCTAGCTATTATTATTAAGGCTCAGTTCTCCTCCCGGTCGGCCTCCCAGAACCTCCTACCTCCCCTGCACGTCTCAGGCCCCAGTTCTCAGCTCCCCAGCCACAGCCTCAGCTCAGATCTCATCTTTGTTTTTTTTCTCCCCTGAGAAAACTCAACAGTCTTCCTAGTGCAGTGGGTTGAACACCGGGGTCTGGAGTAGACTAACCTGGGTTCACATCCCAGCTTAGCTGGCTCCCAGCTGTGGGGCACCGTCCAAGTCTGAGGTTCAGTCTACCCGCCTGCGGAATGGGGAGGGTTGCTGCAAGGGGTGCCTGAGCCCCCAGTGGACGTTTATTGGGGGGCAAAGGGTAGCGCCCCACTTAGGGTGTTACCAGGATGTCATCTCTGTTTCTAGAGTGCTGTCTCACCTACTTTGGTCATGTTGTCAGAAGGGACCAGTCCCTGGAGAAGGACGTCATGTTGCTCGGTAAAGCGGAGGGTCAGAGAAAAGGGGAAGCCCTCAACGAGATGGACGGACAGTGGCTGCCAGGATGGATGGGCTCAGGAACAGCAAGGCCTGTGAGGCTGGCACAGGACCGGGCAGCGTTCCGTTCTGTGGCACGTGGGGTCGCTGAGACGGGACTGACTGGAAAGCACCTAACAACAACAACAGGATGCCCCTGGCTGTAAGGGGTTCAAGGGTGACCCCCGAGAGCTATGTCTGCATCCGAACCCCTGGAACCTGGCCATGTTACCTGTGTGGAACGTGCAGGTGGAATCTTGAGATGAGATCATCCAGGTTACCCACGTGGGCCCTATAGCCAATGATTAGCATCCCTCTAAGGAGTCCTGGGGGAGCTCTGGTGGCGTAGTGGCTAAGGCACTTGACTGCTAACCAGAAGGCTGGCGGTTCAAACCCACCAGCCACTCCTCAGAAGGAAGGTTGGGCAATCTACTTCCGTAGTGATACTGCCTCGGAAACCCAAGGAGGGGTCGCTATGAGTCAAGTCAAGTCAATGGCAGTGACTTTGGTTTGGGCTTTGCTCCCATCAAGACCGACAGCCTTGGAGACCCTGTGGTGCAGTTCCACTCTGTCCTCTAGGGGCGCTGTGGGTCAGAATCCCCTCCAGGCAGTGGGTTTGGTTTGGGCTTTGCTTCTGTGAAGGTAGGAGCTCTGGTAGCATAGTGCCTAAGGCACTTGACTGCTAACCAGAAGGCTGGTGGTTCAAACCCACAGCCACTCCTCGGAAGGAAGGTTGGGCAATCTACTTCCGTAGTGATACTGCCTCGGAAACCCAAGGAGGGGTCGCTATGAGGCGGGTCCGACTCGACAGCACATAACAACCACCACAACAAGGAGTCCTGGTGGTGCAACAGTTAAGTGCTCGGCTGCTAACGGAAAAGTTGGCAGCTGGAACCCACCTGGTGGCTCAACAGAAGAAACATTTGGTGACCTCTTCCTGTAGAGACTACAGCCCAGGAAACACTACGGGGCAGTTCCACCCCGTCACATGGGCCACTCTGATCAGATGGCACCCAACAGTAACAAGTGTCACTCTAAGAGCTACACAGAGAAGACGCAGAGACAGGGGACAGGGCGACGTGATGAGAGGCAGAGACTGGAGGGATGCCGCCCCAGCCAAGGACACGGAGCTAAGGCTGTAGCCAGGGAGCCAGAGAACCGGAGCAAATTTGGCCTTGATAATAATCCTTAGCACTGAATGAATGCCTGCAGTCCCTGCCAGACACTGCTGTAAACGTTTCTCCAGCTCCCCAAAGCTGGGAGAGATGAGACAGGATCTTCGTATAGCGCCCCCAGCAAGAGCATGGCCCTGCCAACCCCGATGGCTGACTGCTGGCCTCCAGAACCATGAGACAGGGAAGTTCGGTTGTTTTAAGCGTCCTATTGTTGTTGTTATGTGCTGTCGAGTCGGAACCGACTCACAGTGACCCCTCTGTGGGTTTCTGAGGCGGTATCACTACGGAAGTAGATTGCCCCATCTTCCTTCCGAGGAGTGGCTGGTGGGTTTGAACCGCCAGCCTTCTGGTTAGCAGTCAAGTGCCTTAGGCACTGCACCACCAGAGCTCCCTGTGTTAATTGTTACAGCAGCCACAGGAAATGAAAACCCTGGCTTCGGGTGGGACCATCTCTAGGGAAGTGGGTTGACCAAAGGCTTCTTCCTCAGAACCTGTGAAGATGTGACGTTTCCCTGGGGGACCACTAACCTAAAAAGTTCGACGGTTCAAACCCACCCAGCAGCTCCGTGGAAGAAATTCCTGGGGATTACTTCCAGAGAGATTGCAGCCAAGAAAACCCTATGTTCTACTGTACAACCCATGGGGTTGGCAGGAGTCAGACGGGACTCAAAGGCAGTGAGGGTGTTTGTAAAGGAGTATGAGGCAGTGGAAAGCCAGGGCACCTGGAGAACGTGCCAACCCCCTCCAGGGCCCTCGATTCAAATCCCACCTCTGCCACCACGAGCTGAGGGGCCCCAAGCCAGCCCCTGCCTCTCTTAAAGCCTCAGCCTCCTCCTTTGCCAAACGGGAGTTGAGCTTCATAATGAGATTCTGAACCTGTCCTTCGGGACCCTTAACAGGGCGGATGTGGGGCCAGTTTAAACAGACAAGGCTGTGAGATCCCACCCATCTAAGCTGGTGTCGTGAGCATGACGCCGGGGCCAGCTGCCTGAGTTCAAATGCCAGTGTGAGTTTGTCATCGCTGGGAGACCTGGGTCCAAGTCACTTAACATTCCTGGGTGTCAGATGATCACAGCCGCTCTGGCCTGGGGTGAGCAGGTAACCTATAGCACTCAGAACACTGCTTGGCACATCGTGAGTGCCCAGTGAAGACCTGCTAACCAACCTTTATTACCATTCTCTGTATTACTTTTGATGTTCCTTGTCAATCGCTCTAATCCTGCTGCCTGTTATGTTAAATGGAATTAATAACTCCTTGGGTACCCATAAGGAGCTCCGGTGACACAGTGACTAAGGCATTTGACCGCTAACCAGAAGGCTGGCAGTTGGAACCCACCAGCTACTATGCAGAAGGAAGATGGGGTAACCTACCTCCGTAAAGATGTACTGCCTCGGAAACCCAGTGGGGGTCGCTATGAGTCAGAATCAACTCGATGGCACTGAGTTTGGATTTTGGTTTTGGGTACCCATTGGAACGAGCTTATAAAAAGTATGACTGCTCATGTCACACCCCCAGAATGGGAACGTTGATTCCAATTCATGGTGCCCTCACGTGTTGCAGGTAGAACTGCCCCATACCATTTTCCTGGCTGTAATCTTTACAGAGGCAAACTGCCAGGCCTTTCTTCTGCAGGACCCCTGGGTGGGCTCAAACTGCCAATCTTTATGTTAGGAGCCTATCACCAACAGAAAGCCTGGTTTAAATGGTCTGGGGGTGGAGCCTGTTCTGTGCCATCGAGTTGAATCAGACCCACAGCGCCCCTAGAGGACAGAGTGGAACTGCACCACAGGGTCTCCAAGGTTGTCAGTCTTCACAGAAGCAAAGCCCAAACCAAACCCACTGCCCTGGAGTGGATTCTGACCCACAGCGCCCCTAGAGGACAGAGTGGAACTGCACTACAGGGTCTCCAAGGTTGTCAATCTTCACAGAAGCAAAGCCCAAACCACACCCACTGCCGTGGAGTCCATTCTGACCCACAGCACCCCTAGAGGACAGAGTGGAACTGCCCCACAGGGTCTCCAGGGCTGTTGATCTTTAAGGAAGCAAAGCCCAAACCAAACCCACTGCTGTGTAGTCAGTTCTGACTCACAGCGCCCCTAGAGGACAGAGTGGAACTGCACTGTAGCATTTCCAAGGCTCTCATCTTTATGAGAGAAGATGGTCAGGTCTTTTGTCCCAAGGAGCCACTGATGGGATCAAACTGCCAATCTTTCAGTTAGTAACCACGTGCTTAACCACTGTGCCATCAGGGCTCCTGGGGGCGGGGGTCAGGTGTTGGTATTTTATAAAAATTCCCCATGTAATTCTAACATGAAGTCCAGGTTTAGAACCTTCCCTACCCCATCTGTTTGCTGTAAACATGAAAAAAGGTGACAAGAGCTGGGTAGACAACCATAGTCAACCTCATTATGGTCAATCCCACTGTAATCTGAACAACCACCATAGCAAAGCAGTAAACCTTGGAGCTGGACTACCCAGGTCTGCCGTGTCCAACTGGGTGACCTCGGGCAGGGGACCTGACTACCCTGTGTCTGTTTCTTTATCTGTGAAGTGGAGATAAAACGTTTCCTCGTTGTGGAAACGTATCGAGACAGTGTATTTTACAGTTCTTATAAGAGTGCTTACAAAAACCAATCCCACTGCCTTCAGGTTGGTTCTAATTCATGGTGCTCTCATGTGTTGTGGGTGGAACTGCCCCATAAGGTTTTCCTGGCTGTAATCTTTACAAAAGCCCACTTCCAGGCCTTTCTGCTGCAGGACCCGGGTGGGTTCAAACTGCCAATCTTTATGTTAGGAGCCTATCACCAACAGCGTGTATGACCTGGGGACCTTTAGAAGAATACTTAGTAAATGCTTCATAAAGGTTAGTTATTACTGGTGTTAAATCTCTCTGGGCCTCAGTTTCCTTGTATATAAAATGGGGATAATAACAGACCATCCCTGGTGTAAACTGAGATTAAATGAATTAACAAAAGGAAGGCACTCAGCTCCGAACCCAGCATGTAGTTTTCCATACTCAGTGGTTCCTATTATTTCAGATCCATAAACCCTTTCTCAAAGCCCTCAGGCCAAGTCACATTTGAGAATTCAGAAATGTTCATCCTTCATAAAAATAGCATGGGAATCTACCGTGGATTCTGTGACACCCCCAGTGCTGTCGGATGCAACCCTTGTGATCTAACTCTTCAGACTGGATTCCTCTGCAGTTGGAACACAGGAACTCACAGACCATGGAGTGAAGACTATCAGTGTGTCCCGTTATTCAGGCTGGACTTTTGGAAGCAGATCTCAGGAATGTATTTCTGCCTTCCATAGCACTTGGGGTTCTGGAATTGTTGATCTAGGACTGTAAATTAAGTGGGCAGAACATCACCTTCTTAATCCCTTCCACCAGGACTCCTGATGACACAAATGGTTAAGCCCTGACTACTAGCTGAGTGGTGGAAGGTCCTAACCCACGCACGGCTTCAGAAAACAGGCCCGGTGATCTACTTCCAAAAGGTCCCAGCTTTGAAAACCCTACGGCGCTTACCGAACATCTTAATCAAAGATTCTACAGAAAAATCATGATCAAAAGGGAGAAAATGTGGAACAGAATTTCAAATTGTCATGCACTCCCCGGTACCTGTCTAGAGCCACGGAGGCTGGATGAACTTCTGAAGCTATTGAGATGATCTTAAACCTTAGGCCAAAAATATGCTCTGAAGTCTTCTTAAAAGCAAATGATGGCTTAGCTTAACCAGTGAATAATGTCTGTCTTCACCATTATGTTCTTTTAAAATCTACATAGGATCAAACTGACAGTAGTAACTGGAAGGACTGCACCGGAAACACAGGGGGCAGTGAGTTTCTGTTAATGGGAAAGTCACCACTCAGACAAGGAGGGTGAGGATGGTTGCATGGCTCATATAGAATCCATGTCACTGAATTGTACATGGAGAAACTGTCGAATTGGTCTATCTTGTGCTGTGAGTATCCTCAACAATCACAAAAATAAAATAAACTATATGCTTTGGTAATATAGTGCCTAAGGCATCTGACTGCTAACCAGAAGGCTGGCGGTTCAAACCCACCAGCCACTCCTCGGAAGGAAGGTTGGGCAATCTACTTCCGTAGTGATACTGCCTCGGAAACCCAAGGAGGGGTCGCTATGAGCCAGGTCCGACTCAATGGCTCATAACAACAACAACACATACAAACAAACACACACTCTATGGACCAGTTCCCCTTTGCACCCACGGGGTGGCCATGAGTTGGAATCACTGCACAGCACGTAAGGTCAATGAATCGCTCCCAAGTTTAGAGAAATGGGTCCAGGTCTCCTGGAGGCCTCTGTACCCACGCAGGGGCGCAGACACCGGGTCCCCAGCCGCGGCGATGCCCCTCCCGGCCGGGCGGGGGCGCACGGTCACTCACGTAGATGAGGCCGGAGTAGTACCGCTCGCGGAGGTTGTGCAGAACCGAGGCCTCGTTGAGGCAGGTCAGCTCGGCCATGTCCTCGGCTTTGCTGAACTTGGGCGGGTTCATGCGCTGGATCTGGTCGCGCGGGAGCCGCAGCCGCCGCCCGCTCTCCGCCATTTCCACCTCCGCCTCCTCCTCGCCCTCGTCCCGCAGCGCCGCCGCCTCGAACCCGTGCAGCTC